ATGACGTGCTGGTGGAGGTGCTGCTTGTTGAAGAGGTTGATGTTGAGGTGCTGCTGGTGCTGGTGGAGGAGGTGCTGCTTGATGTACTTGACGTGGTACTGCTACTAGTGCTGGAGGTGCTGGTGGATGTGCTCGTCGATGATGTGGAGCTGGTGGAACTAGTGCTGGATGAAGTTGTGCTGGAGCTAGTTGTTGAGGTACTGGTTGATGAGGTCGAGGTTGATGATGTGGAACTTGACGATGTAGAGCTTGACGATGTTGTGGTTGAGGTGCTGCTGGTGCTGGTGGAGGAGGTACTGCTTGATGTACTTGACGTGGTACTACTACTGGTGCTGGAGGTGCTGGTGGATGTACTCGTTGATGATGTGGAGCTGGTGGACGTACTGCTGGATGAAGTTGTGCTGGAGCTAGTTGTTGAGGTACTGGTGGATGAGGTCGAGGTTGATGATGTGGAACTTGACGATGTAGAGCTTGACGATGTTGATGTTGAGGTGCTGCTGGTGCTGGTGGAGGAGGTGCTGCTTGATGTACTTGATGTGGTGCTGCTAGTGGTGCTGGAGGTGCTGGTAGACGTGCTTGTTGATGAAGTCGTGCTGCTGGTGCTGGAGGTGCTACTGGATGTGCTCGTTGATGATGTGGAGCTGGTGGACGTACTGCTGGATGAAGTTGTGCTGGAGCTAGTTGTTGAGGTACTGGTTGATGAGGTCGAAGATGATGATGTCGAGGTTGAGGTGCTGCTTGTTGAGGAGCTGGTGCTGGATGTAGACGTAGTTGTACTGCTGGTAGTTGAACTTGATGATGAGGTGCTACTTGATGTCGTGGTAGACGAGGATGTACTTGTGGATGAGGTGCTGGATGATGTTGTGCTACTAGTGCTTGTTGATGTGCTGGATGATGATGTGGAGCTTGACGATGTAGAGCTTGACGACGTTGTGGTTGAGGTGCTGCTTGTTGAAGAGGTTGATGTTGAGGTGCTGCTGGTGCTGGTGGAGGAGGTGCTGCTTGATGTACTTGATGTGGTGCTGCTGCTGGTGCTGGAGGTGCTGGTGGATGTGCTCGTTGATGATGTGGAACTGGTGGACGTACTGCTGGATGAAGTTGTGCTGGAGCTAGTTGTTGAAGTACTGGTTGAAGAGGTCGAGGTTGATGATGTGGAGCTTGACGATGTAGAGCTTGATGACGTGCTGGTGGAGGTGCTGCTTGTTGAAGAGGTTGATGTTGAGGTGCTGCTGGTGCTGGTGGAGGAGGTGCTGCTTGATGTACTTGATGTGGTACTGCTACTGCTGCTGGAGGTGCTGGTGGACGTGCTCGTTGATGATGTGGAGCTAGTGGACGTGCTGCTGGATGAAGTTGTGCTGGAGCTAGTTGTTGAGGTGCTGGTTGATGAGGTCGAGGTTGATGATGTGGAGCTTGACGATGTAGAGCTTGACGACGTTGTGGTTGAGGTGCTGCTTGTTGAAGAGGTTGATGTTGAGGTGCTGCTGGTGCTGGTGGAGGAAGTGCTGCTTGATGTACTTGATGTGGTACTGCTACTGCTGCTGGAGGTGCTAGTGGAGGTGCTCGTTGATGATGTGGAGCTGGTGGAAGTACTGCTGGATGATGTGGAGCTGGTGCTGCTTGTAGAGGTGCTCGTTGATGAGCTCGATGTTGATGATGTGGAGCTTGACGATGTAGAGCTTGACGACGTTGTGGTTGAGGTGCTGCTGGTGCTGGTGGAGGAGGTGCTGCTTGATGTACTTGATGTAGTACTGCTAGTGGTGCTGGAGGTGCTGGTGGAGGTGCTCGTCGACGAACTCGTGCTGGATGACGTCGAGCTGGTGCTGCTAGTAGAGGTGCTGGTTGATGAGGTCGAGGTTGATGATGTGGAACTTGACGATGTAGAGCTTGAAGACGTGCTGGTGGAGGTGCTGATGGAGGAAGTGCTGCTTGATGTACTTGATGTGGTACTGCTACTGCTGCTGGAGGTGCTGGTGGATGTGCTCGTTGATGATGTGGAGCTAGTGGAAGTACTGCTGGATGATGTGGAGCTAGAGCTGCTTGTGGATGTGCTGGTTGATGATGACGAGGTTGATGATGTGGAACTTGAGGATGTGGAGCTTGACGATGTTGTGCTTGAGGTGCTGCTGGTGCTGGTGGAGGAGGTGCTACTTGATGTACTTGATGTGGTACTGCTACTGGTGCTGGAGGTGCTGGTGGATGTGCTCGTTGATGATGTGGAGCTAGTGGACGTACTGCTGGATGAAGTTGTGCTGGTGCTGCTTGTAGAGGTGCTGGTTGAAGAGGTAGAGGTTGATGATGTAGAGCTTGACGATGTAGAGCTTGACGACGTGCTGGTTGAGGAGCTGCTTGTTGAAGATGTTGAGGTTGAGGTGCTGCTGGTGCTGGTGGATGAGGTGCTGCTTGATGTACTTGATGTGGTACTGCTACTGCTGCTGCTGGTGCTGGTGGATGTGCTCGTCGATGATGTGGAGCTAGTGGATGAGGTGCTGGATGATGTCGAGCTGGTGCTGCTTGTAGAAGTACTGGTTGATGAGGTAGAGGTTGAGGATGTGGAGCTTGACGATGTTGATGTTGAGGTGCTGCTGGTGCTGGTGGAGGAGGTGCTGCTTGATGTACTTGATGTGGTACTGCTACTGGTGCTGGAGGTGCTGGTGGATGTGCTCGTTGATGATGTGGAGCTGGTGGACGTACTGCTGGATGAAGTTGTGCTGGAGCTAGTTGTTGAGGTACTGGTTGATGTGCTCGAGGTTGATGATGTGGAGCTTGACGATGTGGAGCTTGATGACGTGCTGGTGGAGGTGCTGCTTGTTGAAGAGGTTGATGTTGAGCTGGTGCTGCTGCTGGTGGAGGAGGTGCTGCTTGATGTACTTGATGTTGTACTGCTACTGGTGCTGGAGGTGCTGGTGGATGTGCTGGTTGATGATGTTGTGCTGCTTGTGCTTGAGGTGCTACTGGATGAGCTTGTTGATGATGTGGAGCTGGTGGAAGTTGTGCTGGATGATGTCGAGCTGGTGCTGCTTGTAGAGGTGCTGGTTGATGAGGTGGAGGTTGATGATGTGGAGCTTGACGATGTAGAGCTTGTTGACGTGCTGGTGGAGGTGCTGCTTGTTGAAGATGTTGATGTGGAGGTGCTGCTGGTGCTGGTGGAGGAGGTGCTGCTTGATGTACTTGATGTGGTACTGCTACTGCTGCTGGAGGTGCTGGTGGATGTGCTCGTTGATGATGTGGAGCTGGTGGATGAGGTGCTGGATGATGTCGAGCTGGTGCTGCTTGTAGAAGTACTGGTTGATGAGGTAGAGGTTGATGATGTGGAGCTTGATGAAGTTGTCGTTGAGGTGCTGCTGGTGCTGGTGGAGGAGGTGCTGCTTGATGTACTTGACGTGGTACTGCTACTGGTGCTGGAGGTGCTGGTGGATGTGCTCGTTGATGATGTGGAGCTGGTGGACGTACTGCTGGATGAAGTTGTGCTGGAGCTTGTTGTTGAGGTGCTGGTTGATGAGCTCGAGGTTGATGATGTGGAGCTTGACGATGTGGAGCTTGATGACGTGCTGGTGGAGGTGCTGCTTGTTGAAGAGGTTGATGTTGAGCTGGTGCTGGTGGAGGAGGTGCTACTTGATGTACTTGATGTTGTACTGCTACTGGTGCTGGAGGTGCTGGTGGATGTGCTGGTTGATGATGTTGTGCTGCTTGTGCTTGAGGTGCTACTGGATGAGCTTGTTGATGATGTGGAGCTGGTGGAAGTACTGCTGGATGATGTCGAGCTGGTGCTGCTTGTAGAGGTGCTGGTTGATGAGCTAGAGGTTGATGATGTGGAGCTTGACGATGTAGAGCTTGATGACGTGCTGGTGGAGGTGCTGCTTGTTGAAGAGGTTGATGTGGAGGTGCTGCTGGTGCTTGTGGAGGAGGTGCTGCTTGATGTACTTGATGTGGTACTGCTACTGGTGCTGGAGGTGCTGGTGGATGTGCTCGTCGATGATGTGGAGCTGGTGGAACTAGTGCTGGATGAAGTTGTGCTGGAGCTAGTTGTTGAGGTGCTGGTTGATGAGGTCGAGGTTGATGATGTGGAGCTTGACGATGTAGAGCTGGACGATGTTGTCGTTGAGGTGCTGCTCGTGCTGGTGGAGGAGGTGCTGCTTGATGTACTTGATGTGGTACTGCTACTGGTGCTGGAGGTGCTAGTGGAGGTGCTCGTTGATGACGTCGAACTAGTGGAGGTACTGCTGGATGATGTCGAGCTGCTGCTGCTTGTAGAGGTGCTGGTTGATGAGGTTGAGGTTGATGATGTGGAGCTTGACGATGTAGAGCTTGACGACGTTGTGGTTGATGTGCTGCTTGTTGAAGAGGTTGATGTGGAGGTGCTGCTGGTGCTCGTGGAGGAAGTGCTGCTTGATGTACTTGATGTGGTACTGCTACTGCTGCTGCTGGTGCTGGTGGATGTGCTCGTCGATGATGTGGAGCTAGTGGACGTACTGCTGGATGATGTCGAGCTGGTGCTGCTTGTAGAGGTCCTGGTTGATGAGGTAGAAGTTGATGATGTGGAACTTGAGGATGTGGAGCTTGACGATGTTGTGCTTGAGGTGCTGCTGGTGCTGGTGGAGGAGGTGCTACTTGATGTACTTGTTGTGGTACTGCTACTGGTGCTGGAGGTGCTGGTGGATGTGCTCGTTGATGATGTGGAGCTGGTGGAAGTACTGCTGGATGATGTGGAGCTGGTGCTGCTTGTAGAGGTGCTGGTTGATGAGGTCGAGGTTGATGATGTGGAACTTGAGGATGTAGAGCTTGATGACGTGCTGGTGGAGGTGCTGCTGGTGCTGGTGAAGGACGAGCTACTTGATGTACTTGATGTGGTACTGCTACTGGTGCTGGAGGTGCTGGTGGATGTGCTCGTTGATGATGTGGAGCTGGTGGAGGTACTGCTGGATGATGTTGAGCTGGTGCTGCTTGTAGAGGTGCTGGTTGATGAGGTAGAGGTTGATGATGTGGAACTTGACGATGTAGAGCTTGACGATGTTGTGGTTGAGGTGCTGCTGGTGCTGGTGCTGCTTGATGTACTTGATGTCGTACTGCTACTGGTACTGGAGGTGGTGGATACGGTTGTGGTAGTGGCTCCCTTGGTCGAGTTTGAAAGGTCCCATTGGGGTCAACCCGTCCGCATGTCTGGGGTCAGCCTCACAACGGCTTGGCTCATGCCGAATATGTTCAATACCAAGAGGCATTCAATCGTCTTTCTTCAAACCCAAAATCGGCTGTGGGTAAATCAACACCTTGGAGGCTGCAAGGACAAACCAGGAGCATCAATTTCTTTCGTTGCAGTAAAACATTCGCAGTGGCACAACCATGGTATCTCTCTCTCTCTCTCTCTCTAGCGTTCACACTATGCCATCAATGCCTCTTTGCAAAGCCAAACGCACTTGTAACTGCCAGGCCTTGAGGTGATCCGTCTGTCATGTTGACAAAGCCGGACCCTTTTTTCGAATGAATGCCTCAACTGCCCTTGTCTAAACTTTAAACAGTACAACTGAAAGACTGACTGTGCAAATGCACAAACAGTTTCAAACAAACAAGACTTCGCAGAAACAAGCAGTACAAGCAATCTATTCTGCCGATTTCTGAGGTACCAGGATCCAATGTGAAACTCCTCCCGTTCTTCATGCCACAGGCATTGTCCTGAACATACACTGGCAGGTTCAGTGTTTGCGGTGCGTTTTGCATTTCCAGGATTCCTGCATGTTTCCGCATTCTTTTTTCAGAGAATGATGTCAGGAGAAACGCAAGCATCCCGTTTCCGAAAGGATTTCCTGGTGAGATGCCGGTGTCGCAGGGTAGCTGATGAGCTTGTCCAGCCCTCAGGTTTTCAACATCAACCAGTTCATTCAATACCAACTAGACCAGAATTGGTATGGGTGTGCTCCAGAATGGCTATTTTATTTTGGTCCGAAAGATGATAATACCCCATTTCCGAACAAACCCATACATCTTTAGTAGCATTTATTCACTGAGTTCGGAGCTGGGATCGGTTTGTTCCAATGCCAATCTTCTGGACGTCACCTGCAGCCGTCCCGGAAGGATGACCATCGTCATAAACCTTCGGAAACTGACGCTGTGACCCCTGTGACCGCTGTGACAGATGTGACCCCCGTGACCGCTGTGACCGCTGTGACCGCTGTGACCGCTGTGACCCTTGTGACCCTTGTGACCCTTGTGACCCTTGCGACCCTTGTGACCCTTGTGACCGCTGTGACCCTTGTGACCGCTGTGACCCTTGTGACCCTTGTGACCCTTGTGACCCTTGTGACCCTTGTGACCCTTGTGACCCTTGTGACCCTTGTGACCCTTGTGACCCTTGTGACCCTTGTGACCCTTGAGACCCTTGTGACCCTTGAGACCCTTGTGACCCTTGTGACCCTTGTGACCCTTGTGACCCTTGTGACCCTTGTGACCCTTGTGACCCTTGTGACCCTTGCGACCCTTGCGACCCTTGCGACCCTTGCGACCCTTGTGACCCTTGTGACCCTTGTGACCCTTGTGACCCTTGTGACCGTTGTGACCCTTGTGACCGTTGTGACCGCTGTGACCGATGTGACCGCTGTGACCGCTGTGACCGCTGTGACCGCTGTGACCGTTTTGACCCTTGTGACCCTTGTGACCCTTGTGACCCTTGTGACCCTTGTGACCCTTGTGACCCTTGTGACCCTTGTGACCCTTGTGACCCTTGTGACCCTTGTGACCCTTGTGACCCTTGTGACCCTTGTGACCCTTGTGACCCTTGTGACCCTTGTGACCCTTGCGACCCTTGCGACCCTTGCGACCCTTGCGACCCTTGTGACCCTTGTGACCCTTGTGACCCTTGTGACCCTTGTGACCGTTGTGACCCTTGTGACCGTTGTGACCGCTGTGACCGATGTGACCGCTGTGACCGCTGTGACCGCTGTGACCGCTGTGACCGTTTTGACCCTTGTGACCCTTGTGACCCTTGTGACCCTTGTGACCCTTGTGACCCTTGTGACCCTTGTGACCCTTGTGACCCTTGTGACCCTTGTGACCCTTGTGACCCTTGTGACCCTTGTGACCCTTGTGACCCTTGTGACCCTTGTGACCCTTGTGACCCTTGAGACCCTTGTGACCCTTGTGACCCTTGTGACCCTTGGGACCCTTCCGACCCTTCCGACCCTTCCGACCCTTCCGACCCTTCCGACCCTTCCGACCCTTCCGACCCTTCCGACCCTTCCGACCCTTCCGACCCTTCCGACCCTTTCGACCCTTCCGACCCTTCCGACCCTTCCGACCCTTCCGACCCTTCCGACCCTTCCGACCCTTCCGACCCTTCCGACCTTACGACCTTCCGACCCTTCCGACAATCCTCACCTTGTGACCTTTGCTGACCCTTGTGACCGTTGACCGTGCTCTGACAGTTCCTGAACGTTGGGGACCGTTGTGACCGCTGTATGACCGCTGTGACCCTGTAGTGACCTTGTGACCTGGAGACCATTGCGAACCCTTGCGACCCTTGCGACCCTTGCGACCCTTGCGACCTGCGAACCCTTGCGGACCCTTGCGACCCTTGTGACCCTTGTTGAACCTTGTGACCCTTGTGGACCCTTGTGACCTTGGACCTTGTGACCCTTGTGACGCTGTGGACCGCAGTCTGGACCGTCTGTGATGATGTGACCCTTGTGACCCTTGTGACCCTTGTGACCGTTGTGACCCTTGTGACCGTTGTGACCGCTGTGACCGATGTGACCGCTGTGACCGCTGTGACCGCTGTGACCGCTGTGACCGTTTTGACCCTTGTGACCCTTGTGACCCTTGTGACCCTTGTGACCCTTGTGACCCTTGTGACCCTTGTGACCCTTGTGACCCTTGTGACCCTTGTGACCCTTGTGACCCTTGTGACCCTTGTGACCCTTGTGACCCTTGTGACCCTTGTGACCCTTGTGACCGCTGTGACCGCTGTGACCGTTGTGACCGTTGTGACCCTTGTGACCGCTGTGACCGTTGTGACCGTTCTGACCGTTCTGACCGTTTGTGACTGTTGTGACCGTTGTGACCGTTGTGACCGTTGTGACCGTTGTGACCGTTGTGACCGGTTGATGTTTTATGATAGTGTACATATCCGACATATCCCATCAAATATCCCATAAAATGGTCGGTTACCCCCAGCATCCCAATTTAGGATCATGGTGACCTACCTATTTGTTCGCTGCTCCGGGCTGCCAAATGTCCAACTGCAATTGTTCATAGCACCGATGGCACCTGCTCATCGCCCTCATTGGCATCATCCGGATGCAGAGTCCAAGCGTCATACCTCATATTGATGGATAGATAGAGTAAAAGATGACAGACGGACAAATAAACAAACAGATAGATCGATCCCTTGATACATGATAGGTAGGTCAGGTAGGTTCACAAACGCGCACACACACACACATAGATCAATCTATGATGAGAGAGTGATCATGAGACATGTATTGTATCACAATATTTCAATGTATACTGTATGTATGTATATATATATATATAAGCTTGGCATGTCCGTGTTGACATGGTGTCCCGCAACCAATTTTTGGTGACGATTTGTCCACACGCCTGGAAAATGCTGCAAACAGCACACATGCTGCAGCCACACCGGACAGCCAAATGGAGACCTGAACGCAACATCTAATATGCACACATCACACGATGCCATGTAACACTCACCGCCTATGTCAAACATTTCACTGGCACCTTGTGAGTCACCGCCATGCCATTTGAGACCGCTCCATGGCAATTGTCTACTGTTTGAATGTCACTAAGGCCACAAAATTCAAACAAACTGCGGTTAAAACTCTCAAAGCGATTGTCTTTTCTGCTGACAATTCAAACCGAGACTCAGGTGTGGTGGCATGATTTCAGTTAGTTTGGCGCCTCAGACGAAGATATTTGCTGAAATTTGCTGAGTCCATCGTGTACAATTGGTCTCTTCAAATTCGCATGTTTTCAATTTTTTGCGGCATGACAACAGTTGGCTTTGCACAGCATGCGGCACAACTTTGAAATGTTCATGTTGTGTGAACACAATAAATTTCAAAACACGGGAATTCTGATTGCAAGGTTGCTTAGGGCCTTAGGGGTGGCACCAATGCCACATGAAGAACCGTACCGTTGACGTACAAAAACTCCTATTAACGGCTGCCAACGTGTCCCTGTTCTCACCCCTTCCATAGTTCGGGCGTTTCCTTCCGACATGTTGAAAACCTGTTCTTGGACGACAATCGGGCACTCAATCAATCGCTCATACCATGACACGTAGGTGCGTACTTTAACATCATGTCACTCTAACATTTATAACGGGGACAAGCAATGACAAGCATACACCCTTGAAGCGAAGTGAAAGCAACAGTGGCGCATTTCTCCTACACAAATACGGCCTATTTAAATTTGCCTCTTATACCAGTAGTACCGCACAAGGCTGTGGCGGAAGTTTCAAAAATAGGAAACCTATAGGAAGGGTTGGCTGTTGTGACTCACGGATGGCAGAGCGAATTTATTGATGGACCGAAAGGTGGTTGGAGTGGTTGCAATGGTTGCAGTGGTCACCTCACAACAACTGTTGGATGTAGTGTGGCGTAGCGCAGTTGTAGTTGTAGGTGTAGGTGTGGTTGTAGTTGTACTCGTGGTTGTAATGTAGTGGAGTTGTAGTTGTAGTTGTAAGTTGTAGTTGTGATGTAATGTAATTAGCGTAATATAGCTGCAGTTGCAGTTGTAGTTGTGGTGTGGTGTAATTAGTGTTGTGTATTGTAGTGTGCTGTAGAGTTGTGTACTGTAGCATGGTATAGTGTAGTGTAGCCTGGTGTATTGTTGTGTAAAGTAGTGCGTTTGTAATTGTAGTGTAGCGTCGTGTAGTGCAATGTAGAGGTAGCTGTAGTTGTAGTGAAATGTAATGTAATTAGTGTAGTGTAGTGTAGTGTAGCGTACTGTAGTGTAGTGTAGTGTGGTGTGGTGTAGCGTAGTGTAGTGTAGTGGTGTGTAACGTAATGTAGTTGTAGTCGCATTTGTATTTGTAGCTGTAACGCGCTGCAGTTTTATTAGTGTATTGTAGTGTAATGTAAGGTAGCATGTAGCTGTAATTGTAGTTGTAGCTATTGTGGTGGTGGTTAGTACTAGTAGTAGTACTAGTAGTAGTACTAGTAGTAGTAGTAGTAGTAGTCGTCGTCGTAGTAGTCGTCGTAGTAGTAGTAGAAGTAGTAATAGTAGTAGTAGTAGTAGCAGTCGTAGTAGTAGCAGTAGCAGTAGCAGTAGCAGCAGCAGCAGTAGCAGTAGCAGTAGAAGTAGAAGTAGAAGTAGTAGCAGTAGCAGTAGCAGTAGCAGTAGTAGTTGTTGTTGTTGCTCTTGTAGTAGCTGTAATGTAATTAACATAGTGTAATGTAATTAAATATAATTAGTGTAGTGTAGTGCAATTGGTGTTGTGTAATGTAGCGTGGTATGTTGGTACTTGTAGTTGTAGTAGTAGTGTAGTGTAGTGGCACTTGTAGTTGTAGTTGTCTATCTATCTGTCTATCTGCGAAGCTATTCTGCGAGGCTTCCTCAACTGTTGAACTTGACAACATCAAAAACGCGGCAATTCTGCGAGACTTCCTCAATTTTTGAACTTGACAACGCCAAAAACGAAGCAATTCTGCGAGACAGCAATTGTGCGAGACTTCCTTCAAAAATGGAAAGTTGAGTGCAGAGCTGACGGCCTCGCACCAATGCTGTCTAAAAGTTACGTTTTGCGCCTGGCCACGAGGCCTGCCACCTGTTCAAAGAGCAAAAAAATCATCTTCCAAAAAACTGAAGATCTGATGCTCCAAAATTGCAAAACCCCTCTCAGGAAATTTAAGGCGGGACCGGGACCTTCCTCCAGCTCGTTATGAACATTTGTCTTCTTTACTGCGCCTGCCATGGGAAATGAATTCTTTGCAAAGATACTCTTCAAATTGGTTCCCCAGGCCTTTTGCCATCGTTTTTGGAAAAATGACTACAAAAAAACCCTCCAAATTGTGGCCTCGTTTTGACAAGGTGCACAATCCCTTGCGCCTTTTGCCACGCCAAAAAAAACAACCGCTCAACGTCCACACAAAAAGTGGCGCGAAACATGTGGTGCTTTTGTACATTTTTGGACTTTCGAAATGTTTGCTTCGTGCCACAAAACGGCGTGCACTTTTAGAACATTCTCAACAACTTCCAAGAGCCGTATGAACGTGGTGGGCTTTTCACCATTTTGGATTGGAAATTTTTTGTTCTTCGCGCTACAACGGGCGCGCACTTGTTTCGAAATCACAACTTCCAAAAGGTGGGCGGGAAAAACTGCTGTGTTTTGCTCCAATTTTGTTACATTTTGACTGGGAAAATGTGTTTATCCCCACAACGGCGTTTGGCACTTTTCGGAACATTTCACAAACTCGAAAAAAAGTTTGTCCGGTCCGACGTTTGGTGGTTTGTTTTTTACACAATTTTGGACTTGGAAATTTGTTGCTTCGCGCCAAACAACGGAGTTTGCCAATTTTTTTATCTCTCATGCTGGCCCCAGCTGGCTCAGGCACCAGAACGAGGTGGAGATGAGAAGACCGGGGGAGTAAAAGCACGGAGAAAAAAAAGAAGGGGAAAAAAAAAACGGGTTTGTGGATTTTCGCCGGAAGGGAATAACTGTGAGAGAGCCACGGCTCTGGATCTTCTGAGACTTTCTCTTTTTTGATCTTATTTCTTCTTCTCTTCTCTTCTCTGACTCTTCCCATCTCTGCTTTTCATCTGTCCATATTGTCGGAAGTTTGACTTCTAAACTTCCTTCGGCAAACATTAAATCCCTGGATTGGCAATATTGTAAGCAAATGCATGGAGGCAAAAAAACGACAAGTGGGCAGGATGATTTTTATGGCCACAAATCTTGACGTGGAACCCCTGCTCAAAGCGGAAGATGATGCGAAAAAAAATGCATTTAAACGGGATAGATTCAATGCGCGGCAAACATTACCCTATCAACATGCCTTTACCCGCAAAATTTGATTGATACAGTCGCATGTTGCGAAAACGCATGTTGTGAAGCCTACGCCGCCCATCCGATTTTTTTAAAAAAATATCGCGCTGGAACATTTCACGGGAAGACCTGTTTCGACACACCTTTGCAAGACACTTTGGCAGCACCCTGCTGTGACGACACTTTAGTATGACACTTGTGTGGGATAGAAAGTTGTGGTGGGACTCTATGTAGGATGTTCTTTGAAGGCACTTGTCGTAATTTTGTACCATACCATTTTGCAGGACATAACATTTCACGTTTTGGCGGGCCATCTTTGGATTTTTTTTGGGGGACACTCTTCTCAAACATTCTTCTGGGTCTCGATTTTTTGTGTACGCGACACACTTTTCAGGGTGATGTGTTTAAAACACGGTTTTGGAAAAAATGCTTCGCGAAATATTTTTTTAAAAAAACTGCCCGGTTTTTTCCTTGAAGGCGTTACTTCCAAGGCAGCTGCCACCAGTCCCAGACCTGCAGCTGCTGTTTTACGATCGGTGTGCCGGAGATGAACCGAGATTGACTAAAGAAATGGGGCGCCGCAGCAGAATATGCAGAGCAGCGAAAGGATTGCAATAAGCAACTGATTATATTGAAAGACAAAAGACATTGGAAAATTTGTTCACATGTGGGCCATCCATCAGCAAAAGACATTTTGTCACCAAAAGCTTATCGTTTCGTTGTCGTTGGCATTATCATTCAAAGCGGGAAACCTTTTTGGTAAAATGGCATGCACCAAAAAAATGAAAAGAGATCTCTTGTCATCGTCACCGCTCGCATCAAAGCACGAAAATGCAAAACGCTCATCCGGAAGGTTTGAGCGATTACGAGACAAAAAGAACATCCAGCTAGTTACCACATAACAACACGTGATTGGATATACAACCGTTTGCAATAATCAGAGATAAAGAACTTGGCCAAGATCAAGAGCATCAGCATACTTGTGCACACCTTTGCACACCTTCCGTTTATTGAGATGGGCGTGACATACACGCCACAATTGAAAACCTAGATGCCATTAGAACAAGTGTCCACCATCATCTCATGAACACCAGCCCTTCACTTCCCAGCATGCCTTCACACATGAATTGATTCCCATGTTATCCTTTTTAAGACTTCATAATTCGTTTTACAATTGACCATACATGTTTCCACCAAAAAAAATCGCCCCAGTAAACACCTGCAACAAGGAGAGTTTAGCCTCCTCTTCACCTGTTTCGGCATTTTTCGGCCAACGAGACTGTGTCCCAACGTTGCTGCACAGATGGATGCCGGGTTTGGTTCTACAATTGCTGTTGTCAATGCCCCGGGCCAATTGCTGGTTGCTTTGAACCACTTTGGCGGCGGGACAATAAGCAAGTTCGCTAAGATTTTAGAGTCCAGTTTGCCATGCTATTTGTGACCAGATTGCCACTTCAAGTGAAATATCTGTTCTTATCAGTGGAAACAACACACTGATGACTACATGCGTCCGAGGCCTCTGGCTGTCAAAAGAGTGAAACCTTTAGATGGTAGCGGAGCCCGAGGATATCATTCCCGAAGGGTCTGATTGAGGGCTAGCGGGGACAGGACCCAAATCTCTAATAGGACATAGTAGTTTCAGGTGAGCCATCGTAACGCGAGAGCTTTCGAATCTTGCAGCACATGTCTCAGCCTGGAGAAGCGTCACCTCAGAGTCCAGGACAACCTGCCCAATCTGGTGTGGAAGGTGCAGA